GCCATTATGTGTATAAATATTGCCATTATGTGTATAAATATTGCCATTATGTGTATAAATATTGCCACTATGTGTATAAATATTGCCACTATGTGCATAAATATTGCCACTATGTGCATAAATATTGCCACTATGTGCATAAATATTGCCACTATGTGCATAAATATTGCCACTATGTGTATAAATATTGCCACTATGTGTATAAATATTGCCACTATGTGTATAAATATTGCCACTATGTGTATAAATATTGCCATTATGTGCATAAATATTGCCACTATGTGCCTAAATATTGCCACTATGCATAAATATTGCCACTATGTGCATAAATATTGCCACTATGTGCATAAATATTGCCATTATGTGCATAAATAGTCTACAGAGCTATATTATGCAATACATCATCCAATGTGAATGTCTTGAACACAATAGTCTCATATGGATTACGTCGACCCTTTTCATACAAAATCGCAAATGTTTTAATTGTGCTAGCTCCAGGAATCCCTTTCGTCTCAAAATATGCCATGTCCGAATATCCACTGGGTCCTTTATGTATGATCCATGACCCACTCCATGTCCACAAACCGTTTCTACTGAGACGTATTGACATGTATTTTCTCTCGTGCAAACTGGCTGGGTTGGAGAAGAGTGCCCACGTGTCATGATTATATTTACTTTGACTGGCTTCTCGGGGTGCTGGGAATCCTACTATACTTCCCTGTATTTGGTAAATAGAAACATACAAGAACAGTATGTTTGTCATTGAACAAATTAACTCTTCAAAGGTGTTGAGAAAATTTGATTAATCATTAAAATTGGTACATTTATGGTACCCAAATGTTCACATTCAAAATAGTCATAGTTTTTAATGAGCTTGTTTATACCAGTGTGCGATATAAACAGTTTGCTTTTTAATTTCAAAATATCGACTCACCTGACAACCAGCAAAATGCGCTTGCCTTAGAATCCCAGATCGCATGTATAATCCAGGTTCAATCAATGCTTCTTTTAGTGAAGGTTTATCGAATGTAAGACCTCCGTCATCACTACAAGATATAGCACGTGATTGGTATGCACTTAATGTACGACTATTTAGGCACACTTTGTCTTCTGTCAATTCTAGCGCCTGTCATGGTCGTATAACAAAGCTTAATATTAAGGTCAAATGGTAATATATCCAGGAATGAAAAACTAGATATTTCGTTGGTATTTCTATAGCGGGTAAGTGAATATTGAAAGCGATAATGCACTCCAACAATGTCAGAAAGATTGTAGCTGGCCGTAAATTGCCTTGTATGACATTAGAAATCGTTAACAACTCAGTAATGATATGCAATAGGTCAATGCCCTCTCTACAAGTCAACACCAAGTTATTTGTGACATTGGTAAGACCATGAATTGAGAAATCAAAGCAACTGTGTTTCTCAAAATCAAACAATATGTATTGCAGAAGAGCATGCACAGAATGAGGAGCTGTTTTTAGAATTACCGAATTGTAAATAGAATATGGTCTCAAACATCAAACTTGAATTTAAAGTGCATACAAAAATTCAGAACAAAAGTGCATTTGCTATTGCTGTCTTTCAGGTAAATTGTACGAGAATCCAGGAATGAAAAACTAGTTGATATTACTGATTACCAATAACAAATCAAAGAAAGGTTAGAAATAACCCCCATGCGCTGAGAGTATTGGAGACGCATTAAAATTAATCCAAAATTAGATTTTCAAACAAGAAGCTTATCAACTAATGTTTGTCTGCTATTGAAATGTACAATATGAAAACAATGTGTTCTACACTTTACATCTGTGGTGTTCAGTCTAATTAATTCCAGAGCACCTCGGTGACAAATTCCATTTAAATCTGATTTTTGATAAATAAGAAATGTGCTAATAATAATTAGATAATTCATATGTATTAAACTAATCATGTCTCTATTACCCAAATGAATCAAATGAATTATTCGAATTAAGAAATTATTATGCATAGATATATGTCTATGCATTGTTACAGGGCATTCATATACATAGTTTCATTATAATATGATGAGTAATATTGAAAAAATAGAAAGATATAAAGTAAATTATTATGCATACTAATTATTATGGATGTAAATAGAACCAAATGTATATATGGACAGACCATCTATGTAGCAAGTCTTATTGACATGTGATTAGAACCAAATGTATATATGGACAGACCATCCATGTAGCAAGTCTTATTGACATGTGATTAGAACCAAATGTATATATGGACAGACCATCCATGTAGCAAGTCTTATTGACATGTGATTAGAACCAACAAATTATGATGCATAATAATTAACTAAATAAGCAATAATATGAACAGATTTTTGTCCTGGAGTATATTTGTGCCAAGTTTCATTGAAATGGAATAATTAGAACTTAGATATTTAGCTATTAGTGTAAAATTATTATTATGCATGGAATTGCTAACGAAACTAGTCAAATCCAGTCCAGTCCAGAACATCTATGTACCAAGTTTCATCAAAATCCAACGAGTGGTTTTTGAGATATCAGTGGAACGGACGGACGGACAGACAGACACCCCCACACACACACACACACCCACACACATACATATGCACTAACTGCAGACACTAAAGTCAAAAAGAGAAATTCAACACATACCTGAGCATCATTGGTAGCTATGTACTGCTCTAGTTTATCCTGTACACAAGGTACTCTCCCGCCAAGACTCCAGTTTTTACCTCCATCATTGCTAAGTAATACAGTTGACTGGTCAGAACAATTGTGGTAATGTTTAGAGCCTTGAAATTTAGAAACAATATTAATTGACAGCCATTCAAAGACGGCGTGACTATTAGAAGACGAGTTGATGATATATATCATGTAGAGAGGTAACGTTTGAAGTTATCACCCTTTTGATTTCAACTATACGATGATGATTCGATAATATATGTCGTTAAATGATATATAAATGTGGCTCTTCAGCTTAGACGATTCGGTAGCTGGACAGGAAGCCTTAATATGTAGAGATTACGACAAATGACAGAAACCTCTTTAAAGAACAGTACACTTACCTCCATCCGTCTTCACAAATACATGACCAGGAACAATTAATCGACCTGAATGTAGTTGTATCCCATGGCCTGGTCCTAGTAACAAACCCGTGTATGTGACATTGAAAAGTTCAACAAGATTTTATACAGCAAATGCAAAATAAAACACTAATTAATTTTCCATGGGATACAACGTTAACTTTTCACCAAAATATTGTGATCTACTTTAAGTCGACTAATTCCTCAACAACCCATAACAATGAATGAATGTTCGCACAACAGTCCAATGAAATTCAGTGGAAACGGTTGTTAAAGTTGGCAAGAATTAATACAAGCAGACCGGTAACGACGATTTTTAACTGTTTGATATTATATTGGCATACTAAAATAATTTAACCTCACTAGGATTATCCTCATTCCCATCAAAGGCGCAACAGGTCCGCCTGTCACTGTGTCACAGAGAATTTCGAATTCGAATTCAGACCATGAAACATTGGTACATGGTTCGACATTAATTTGAATTAGTTATTTTCTTTCTGTTTCTTTTACAATTATAACAAGACATGAAAATATGATTCACTGTCAGTATGTGTGTTGGTTTACAGGTACAACCATGTGCTGACGTCACACCCCGCACAGATCCAATGTGTGATTCGCACATTTGGGTCAACTATGCCTCCTGATTGAGTGTTTAATGTCAGCTCAATTAAGGAGGCTCGCTTAAATTCATATTCTATAGTTAATTCCTCATTATTCAATATTTGATGGAATATATAATTAACACATTTGAATAGCGGGAATGCAAGTTCAAGGTAAAGTGTCATATGTTTAATATGTACTAGCACACGGCAATTCAATGATCCATTTTAGGTTGTATAATATGATGTTCATTTTAATTTGAAAAGTAACATTTTTGTGATTATTCCAAATTCTTCAATGATGAATATTGCTGTAATTAATCAAGTTACGACGAAAATCATCAAAATCGGTCTACAGTTATTTTAACTTCATTTGTATTCACGTTTTGCTCATTAACAACGTTCACTATAACGAAATAATTTATTTTAAATATGGTTTTCAAAATTATAGCACAATAATAACACAAATATAATCGGAAACAATGTGAGGAAATTTCTTTATATATTTATATAACGATATAATTTAAGGTAACCAGCCATTTAAAGTAATTCGTATTTTACTGAAAATGACAAACATGATTTTCTAAACTATATTGTCATCGATCATGCCTATGAACACGCGAATTTTATATACAACGTAAATTGTAGGTAAATTGTATAATAGTATGACAACTTACACCTTGTGGATTGTTAATTTTACTATGTGTTTAAACTTAATAAATAACGAAAAAACATTTGATTGGGTGCATTAATACCTTTTTCAACTCCCTCTAAAAGTAAGAAATTAATTTAAAACATAATTGAACTCTGGTGACCTTGCCCTTTGTTATATAATATAATTCCCTTTATCATAGTTTGTTTCAATATAAATATGCATTGTCATAATTAATTTTGAATACAAACAAGTTCTGGGGTTGAACCAACAGTGGGGATCAATCTACCGAATGTCCTTAAAAGATGTAAATATCTTACAAAAACATTGGT